TAAATGGGACAGAGAAATTTAACGAGTTTGGGGCATTAACTAGCACCCTACTTCTCGCCGGTGATACTTCACTGGAATCCACTAGATCTCAAGCTCAAGACGAGCTACAACAATGTCACTTTCTCACTACAAGATTCTCTCCTTCTCACTCTTTGATCTGTTAGAGTTCAACATCTTAGAGAAGAAGAAGAGTCAACGATTGGTTTTATAAGACCATTACAGACACACGTCAACCTTCACACGTGTGACTAATGAGAGAGCTGCATCTAGCAAACTTATACCATATCAGATTGCTTCTTAAATCCTCGGTTATCTCTAGCTGGTTAGCTCCCTGAAGACCTTCTCTTTCACCTGAAGTCTTCAGAACACTTAGTCTTTACCGACTAAACTGATCTTGGCTACTACTTATTCAAGCTCATTATGTCGCATTTGTTTGTATGATTAGTTGTTAACTCGATTATATTATTTACAACCATTTAATCTCTGTAACGTATATTTTTGTTGTTGTTTTATACCATAACCAAAGCCAAGTAACAAATTTCGATGCATCAAGTCCGCTTCAAGGAAGAATGTTAGATCCATATAAGCATTCATTTTCTATGACAACAAAGAATGTATTCAAGATAACTCCACAATATAGAAAAAGAAAAACTTTAATATTCCTATATATATGATCCATATTTTAACTATAAATCTCAAGGGCTATGAATTTATAGTTTAAATATGACCATATAAGAATGTTAAGTGGGTTGTTGAGCCGCATTAGCCCATTAGCTAGTGAGTGCATTATAAGCTTAAAAATAGAGCTGGTTATCAATGTTTAACAAAAAGAAAGAACATACATCGTCAAATTAGACTTCTAGTTTTTTTCTTCTTCTCTACAAATTAAAAGAACCTCTTCCGGTCTCCCCAAGATATTTAAAAATAGATTATTATAATGGTATGAAGCATGAAAACACGTTTCACGTTTTGGAATCGGTTTGGAATCATAATTTCTTTGGACGTACGAGGAAGCATTGTGAAAATGCGATTCGTAAAATTGTATACTGTATTTGGATTTTGGAAGCGTTGATTTCAGTTTTGGAAGCGTCAACTTTGTAAACGTCGATTCCGGTTTTGAAAACCAAATGATTTTGGATTCTGAATTTTGGAAGCGTGTTAAAGTAAATAATTTAGACATAGAAATAATTTTCTATTTTCTTAATTTAATTAAGAAGCCCAATCTTTTCTAAAAGAAAGATCATACTACATATAACGTCAAATTAGACTTCTAGTTTTCTTCTTCTCTAAAAATGAAACATAGAAAACTATTTGTTATAAACAAGATAAACCCAATCTTTTTACCTATATGTATTCAATATATATTTTTTGATAACATATATGTATTAAATTTAACTTCGAGATTTATGTTGGTTGAGTTATGTACAAGAAGTGTTTTATGAATAATCACGAATACATATAATTGCAATCATATCTTCTCATAGAACCAGTTCATGCCCTTAGTGAACTCACACCGTCATCGATCAAAACCTGCGTAGGATATGGTTACAAAAATGACTATACTCATAAATTAATTAAAATATATCGTATAAATCAATGTTACCCATGTATTTAAATTTGCAAATTTGTAGTAATTAATTTACTATGAAAAGTTGCATGCTTGTTCGAATAGATGATAAAAGTAATTAAGAAAAGGACTTGTCGTGAATTTTTATGTTTTCTTTTGTGTATGTAGATTATGGCTGATGAAATCCTTATCTCCACCCGATGGCAGAAAGCTAGTGATTGCTTAATTGGACAACACCTTTATTTTCTTTTCTAAATGGACTAATAAATAGTGATTAAAAAGGATAATGATTAGTGTAAAATATAGTTTGTCCAAAAACATTGTTCCACAATAAGGAAATCTGACGATTGCAACAAATTTGTCTAAATTCCAAGAGAGGAATAATCTAAATGTCAAAGACCCAAAGATCCAATCATCACAAGAGTTAACTCTTTTGCATGAAGTAGGAATTAAGTTCGAATTTCTAAATGGCATCGCTTCCATTTTCCATATACTATGGATCTAATGCTTATTTTTTTAATCTTGCAGATTCGACAAAAAGAATAAATAATCTAATTGCTCATCTAACCTAAATAGACGGATATTATTAAGTAATCTTGAGCTTTGTCTTTCTGTAATATTAATATGAGTATATGTAATGTATTATTTATAGTATTATTCCATATTGCTATGAGGGGGGATCACATATCATTGCATACGTAAGATTTGATGAAGATTTAGGCTTTATACCTTTAGTACGTGCTCAAGTTCATAAGAATATCCACCGCATCGCCATCAATCCTCTTCTTCGTTAATTAATAACTATACTACTTTTTTCCTTTTTATTATAACTGAGGTAGATGAATCCAAAACAATCAGCAAGGCCTATAAAAATTTCAGATATTTTCTCCATTTATTACTTTTATGTATATGCATGCATACGTGTGTAATGACGGTACACAATACATGAAGACTATTCCGGATCACTGGCAGGCTTGTCCGGACATATTTGATATTTCACGCATACTTATTTATTTTCACATCTCTATTAATATCAAATAAGAGAAGTGGAACCAGTCAAGGTCTTATTTTAACCTGCGTTGCGTGTGGGAGTCACGAGCCAAGGAGGAGGATAAGTGGAGCTGGGCCATAGAGGAGTGTGATCGTGACGTCCACGTCCCTCAATCTCAATATTTTTGACTCCACTAAGATCAATTTCCAATTCTCTCCGTTTCGTTTTGTTTTTCTATCGCTCTTGTGTAGTGTTAAAAGTCTTGCGCATCTACACAAGTAACGTGTCATTAAATTTCTAAATCATTGAAGAAATAGGTATGACAAGATGACCAAACCCAACTGACAAAACAATAATTATTTTAACGTATTGTTTTTGTTTTATCAATCATCTCCTAATCATATTCTTCCAAATGTATTGGTATAATTGCCTCTGTTTAATTAGTGTTTACCACTCTATTAAGTGGTCAAATTCAACTAATAATCATGCCTTACCTCAATGCTGTAGCTTTCAAGAGTGTGGTGTTGTGTAGAATTTTCTTTAATTTGTAACCCCAAAGCAACACGCATAATGAATGATAAAACCACAAGAACTCGAATTTAATGTAGCAATTTCAAAAAAAGAATCCATGATCCATCATTACAAATTTGATTATTTAAAAACATAGAGATATTTTTTTAAAAATTAATTTTAAATAAAAACAATCTCATTAAAAAAAAAAGAAGGAATATGGATTCTTATTTTAAAGTTTAAATTTTGTTTTTTCTTGCAAATGTAAGAAAGATAAGTTTAATTTTTTTCCCTATTTTATATTGGATTTGTGTTGTGTCAAACAATATTTTTTGGGTAGAGTTGATATTTTTGTGGTATACGTTTATAATATATATATATATATATATATATATATATATATATATAGAAATTAAATGTTTCCAAAATATATTGATTCCTAATATTTTTTTTAAGTAATCGCATTCCTATTTCAAACAATTTTTTAAGTATAGACTATATAATGTATCATCAAAACCACTTCTTCTGTTATATATTTTTCAATTATATATTTTTCAATATATAGTGTATATATAATGTTTATGTAATAATTTATTTTTTAAAAATTCTGTCTGACTTTGTAATCTCAATTTCGAAATCAATTAAAAATTTTGCCAAAAAATGTATAGTTGATATTTGGTGATATACCTTCATAATAACATGCTAAAACATATCATTTTCTAAATGGTATGTGAGAATATCCCATATTTAAAGTTGAGAGAAATTTTGAGTAATATATAAGAGATTTGAGCCAATCGCCAATTGATTTTGATTTGGAAGTCTAGAAAATTTAACATGGTATCAGAACCCGATCACGCGCTGTCCAATTTAAAACTGAAATCGATTCGGTTCATCAAAAGAGGCTCGAGTAATCTTAATCGAAATCTATCTGACTCGAATGAGTCGACTGATCTTACCCAAAATTAATCTTATGATGGGACATTGTCGAGATTAATGGTTTTACGAGCTATTATCTCGAGAGGACGTGTGAGAATATCCTAAATCTGAAGTTGGATAAATTTTGGATAAAATATAAGGGATTTAGGCTAATCTATTCATTGCTAATTGGTTTTGAGTTAGAAATCCAAAAAATTTAACGAAGAAAAAAAGTTTACGCTTCTAAACATTTAGATTTGGCGTAATTGTTTCTGATTCCATGCACCCTATAGCCAACAAAACTATTCATAATACTTTTCTCTGTTTTACATTTTATAAGTTTCAAAAGTAGAAATCTATATCCGAAAATGTCAAAGGAGACATTGCTCTCGTATCCTCACAATCTAGGGCCTCTTTAGATTCCTTTCTTATTGTACGTTTTCTCTGGCTTAAATAACAGGGAGATATATAGAATCACATGCTTTTTGTTTTGTTTTTTGTATTGAACTATTGACATTGACATACAAGATGGTGCACTTGCATATAAGAATGAGTACTTATTACCACACATACCCACCAAAAAATAAAGACAAAAACTAATGGGTGTGTTACGTCAGTACATCAATCACCTCTTTGATCAATACATGTTTGTTTCTCCGAAGGCCCGAAATATATTGGAGAAAGAAGAAAATGACAATATAACTCATATCATGTAACTGTGCAGAATATGCCAATATAACTTATATATCATGTAAGAGTCATGCTAATTTCAATTCCCGGGTTAAAACTCGAATTGAATAAGAAAACTTAAGATATAGGAATCGCTTGGATTGAGATTTTTAGGGTTATAGAATACATAAACAGTCTTCACATTTTTTTAGACAGACATTTTTTTTAATATCATTTCTAAGTTTGTACAACTTCTTTAATTTTTTTCCTTTTTTTAAAAATCTTTTTTAAAAAAAAAAAAAACTTTCGTAATAGAGACTTTGCCATAAATAAATTGAATAATTTTTTTGTTGGATTTAATTTATCTCTCATTGCGACGAGTAATGCGATTTTTGGTAACTACTACTTTTCGAACAGAGAGAGCGTTGTTCCAGCCACGATCTTGGCTTGTCTGAGATCTGATGATGTCGGTTTCCTTCCATAGTTCACGTTGTCCACTAATCTGGAGTTGATGGGCACGTTTTTCTTGCGGTTTCTGGTTTTTTTTTCTCGCTGATCTCAAACTCTGGAATCAGAAACCGCCCTGGTCAGATCTAGGACAACGCTTTCTCCTTCATCCCAAACCACACAAATCTTATTTTTCTTATCCTCTCAGAAAATGTGTGACAATCTTCGACGCCAAATGCAGAATATCAGTTTGGGTATTGCGGATGAGCCAATTTCTCTCCCTCCGGAGATCTGCAACCATGCTACAGCCGTTAACCAATTTTTTTTGGTGGTGGTCCCCCTTAATCCGGCGAAACAGAACCTCCGTGCCATGATCTCTCAACTTCCTCGCCTCTGGGGAATGGAATCTGCTGCTACTGGTCGCATCATCGGTCAAAACCGCCTCCAATTCCTCTTTCAATCTGAGGAGACCATGAATCTGGTTCTTCGCCGATCTCCTTGGTCTTTTGCAGAGTGGATGATCACTATTACCAGATGGGCCCCTAATCTTCCAGATGGCGACTGTAAGATAATTCTTTTCCGGATTCAAATTTGGGGAATACCCTTACAGTTTCTTTCGCGACCAACAATCACCTTTATTGGTGATATCTACGGTCCAGTCATTAGTGTGGATTTTGACGAAACTTCCACAAGAGTTGATTTTGTGCTTCGGGTTTTATGGGACACAGACAACCCTCTTCATTTCCAACACAACTTCCAATTTGAAGCTGGGGTGAATACTATCCTACGATTCAAATATGAGAGACTTCAGAAGTTCTGTAAGCGGTGTGGCATGATTTCCCATGAAAGGAAAGATTGTCCTATTCCAGCGAATGATGAGGATGACTTCTCTGGTTCAGACGGTGATGATGACAGCAGCAGTAATGACCCACACCAAAGAGGTGCGGTGGCGTCTAAGGATCCTGCCCCAATCAATCACTCTGCTGATGATGGTAATCCATTAAACCCTGTTGTAACACCATCCGATTCTGCAATGTCTCAGAACCTGCAGAAAGAATTACAACTTCAGGAACTAAGGAGGGCTCGAGGAAAGTTTAGAGAAGATGATTCTTTGGATGTCTTTGAAGACTCTGCTCGGGACGAATCTGGTTTTAACAAGCGGAAGAGACAGAAAATTGAGAGATGCTGAAATCTCTAACCATGAATGATTGAGTGGACTTGTGCTCGGTCAAGAAAAAAGACTGCCGTGGAAACTCTCAGGACTCAAGCTCAGTCAACCAAGAAATTGACAAAGGCGCGGGGGGCCCGGTACCCTCATTGTTTCCACCAATGCTCTTGGAATTGTCAGGGGTTGGGAGGGTCTGGTACTGAATCTAGGCTGAAGGAGCTACGTAAAAAATATTCTCCGGAGGTCATATTTCTAGTAGAAACTATGAATAGGTCTGATGTAGTTAGGGATGTTGCTTTTTCTTTAAGATATCTTAATGTTTCGTGTGTGCCTCCTCTTGATAGAAGTGCTGGGCTAGCTTTTTTATGGAAGTCTGATGTTTATATTACTAGGATCTATGAAGATGTAAGGTTGGTTGATCTGCTTGTAAAATATAATAGAATGAAATTTTTCTTATCCTGTGTTTATGGGCATCCTGTTCAAAAGCACATACATAAACTTTGGGAGCGGTTAGAAATAATTGGTTGTAACCGGAATGGTCTTTGGATGCTAGTTGGGGACTTCAATGAGTTTCTGTCAAATGATGAGAAAATTGGAGGTCCATTACTAGATGAGTGGAGTTTTCAGGATTTGCGGAACATGTATAGTTTCTGTGATTTTTCTGATCTCCGTTCCAGAGGTGACAAATTTTCTTGGGTGGGAAAACAACAAACACACACAATAAAGAAGTGTTTAGACTGTGTTGCGGTAAACTCTGCTTGGTTGGCTGTTTTCCCTGCATCGGAAGCAGAATTCCTCGGTTTGTATTGTTTCAATCATAGACCAATCATCACTACAGTCGTCATTGTTCAAGAGTTGAGGCATAAGCGCTTTCACTTTGATAAGAGATTGATTCAACACCCTGAATTTGAGCTCTATGTGCGAAGAGGATGGAATACTCAGAATTTGAATCTTAAGTATTACAAATCAGATCAGAGAATGTCGTAAGTCTTTAGCTCAATGTCATCGCAACACTCAGCTAAACTCTGCTATTCAGATTGATGATTTGAAGGGTAAGTTAGAGGATGCCCTTACCTCTGCTTCAAGACATCAAGATCAGATTTCTCTATTGCAGAAAAAACTTGTCAAGACGTATAAAGATGAGGAATTGTATTGGCAACAGAAAATTCAAAATACTTGGCTTGCATCTGGGGATAAGAATACTAAGTTTTTTCATGCTTGCACAAAGAAAAGGTTTTCCAAGAACAGAATTCATGCCATTCATGATGCTTCGGGTCAGCTGTATAGAGGTGACAAAGAAATTGGTAATCATGCTGAGTCTTTCTTTAAAAGTATCTACGCCAGAAATAAAACTCCTGTTCCGGATGTAATTTTTGAGGGGATGCAAAAAACAGTTTCAGATTCTATTAATGCTTCTCTAGTTGAAGATTTCAAGGATCTAGAAATTTATGAAGCAGTTTGTTCAATTGGAGCAGACAAGGGTCCTGGACCTGATGGTTTTATTGCAAGGTTTTATCAAGAATGTTAGCACATTGTTGGATCAGACGTAATAGCTGAAGTCAAACGCTTTTTCCACACTAAAGAAATGAAACCTGGAGTGAATCACACCAACATTTGCATGATCCTTAAAATTGAGAGACCGGATACTTTCTCTGACTACCGACCGATATGATTATGCAATGCCCTCTACAAAATTATTTCTAAACTGCTAGCACGAAGGCTGAAGGGTTTTTTAAATGTCATTGTATCAGAAGAACAAGCTGCCTTCATAACTGGATGCATGGCATCAGACAACATCTTGGTCGCTAATGAGCGTATGCATTCTCTTGAGTCACGGAAGAGAGTATCTCAGACTTATATTGCCATCAAGACTGACATTAGTAAAGCTTATGACTGGGTGGAGTGGGATTTTCTCGAAAAAACCATGAGAGTGTTTGGTTTTTCAGAGACATGGATTGAATGGATTATGGCGACAGTTCGAACAGTTAGTTATTCAGTCCTTTTAAATGGTCATCCTCAAGGTTATATCATTCCGGAGCGTGGCCTAAGGCAAGACGATCCTCTGTCGCCATACCTTTTTATTTTGTGTGCTGATGTTTTAAGTCACTTAATCAAGGTGAACGCTCAGAAAGGAAAGATCCCTGGAATCAAAATAGGAAACGGAGTGCCTGCCATCACACATCTACGTTTTGCTGATGGTTCCTTATTCTTTTGCCAAGCCAATAACAGCATCTGTCAAACTCTGCAGAATATCTTCAAACTTTATGAGGAGTGCTTTGGTCAGATGATTAACCCTTCTAAATCGAAGATTACATTTGGGTCTCGCATTCCAGAGGATTTACAACATCGTCTTAAAGGTATTTTGGAAATCAACAATCAAGGTGGTGGAGGAAAATACCTAGGTCTCCCCGAATGTTTTGGTTGGAAGAAGACTGTAATGTTCAACTACATTGATGGGGTTAAGAAAAGAACTTCTTCTTGGAACTGCAGTTTTCTTTCACCTGCTGGGAAAGAAGTTTTATTAAAATCAGTGGCTCTATCTTTACCAGTCTTCTCCATGCCGTGCTTTAAACTACCTCATCAAGTTACTAGCCAAATCACTAGTTTATTATCATGATTCTGGTGGGAGAAGAGTCGGGATCATAAGGGAATTTCTTGGGTAGCTTGGAACAAACTTCAACGGTCAAAGAAAAGAAGCTTAGGATTTCGAGATTTGGACTCTTTCAATAATGCACTCTTAACAGGCTTGGCGTCTATACACTCATCCTGACACACTGTTCGCAAGATTTTTTAAAGCTAAATATTATGAGACAGCTCCATTCTTGAAGCAAAAGCTCAAAACAAACAGGGTGGTCTTCAATTCTTGTGGGGTTAGAATTATTAAAAAGGGTCTCCGGTTCAATGTTGGCTCTGGTGAACGAATTCATGTTCTTAGAGACAATTGGCTCCCCACACATCATCCAAGAAAAGCATCCGGAAACATGGATAACATTAAAGTAAGGGATCTCATTGTCCATAATGGTGGAGTTCGTATTTGGAATGTGATGTGGTCGTGTGTTGAGGGTTGTCAAGTTTTACCCTAAATGAAATCAATAGCTGCAAGTGCACAGCTTATCGGTTGTAGTACTTAGGGATCGAATCCACAGGGAAGGAGGATCTTTCCTGCAAAAGCCTTCGAAAGAAATATAAAGTAAGGAAGTCTAGAACCATGCGAGTTTTGTGAGGGTTTTGGTGGTGTGTTTAAAATGTAAAAACGAATCTTAAAGAGAAAATACGGGAATTAAAATGACCTAATAACTAAACTTAGCGAAAACGAGTAAAAATGAGAAAAACGGCTAACCTAATTGCTGTAATAAAAATCGATTGAAAGGGAATGAAAATAGTGAACTAAAGCTTGAAATAAAACGGTGTGAATCTATAAGAAAAGAGGCGCTGGGGTTTAGGGAAGTTTTCTCAGGGGTACAAACGATTCAAAACATTGCTAGAGAGTAAATTTGATAAGATCTTAGCTTAAACTTTTCGAACTGGAGTCACGGACGTATGAATATGCCACTATCGTGATCATAGACAACTATCTCTCTCAACCCTGACCAGTAGGTTTCCACTCTGGCCCTGGAAAAGAAGAGATGCATTATGTTTAAGACTCGTCAACATTCACAAATCGCCCATAGGTAGGTTTCCACTCCTATGTTTGTTTTGCTCTCCCAAACTAGATCTGACACCGGATGAACACTTTCGTGTCACCAAGCATCTGGATCAGATTGTAGTTCATGACGCTACTCTCTTGCAGTAAAAACGAATTCAGAAGAAAAAGTTCTAAGATTCGGCTCAAAATCTCATGGAATCCTCACCGAACATATAAATCTCCATCGAAAATCCCTTAGTCCCAACAATAAAACTTCTCAGACATGATGAACGAAATCAAAAACATAGTATTAAAAAGTAGAATAGAAACCAAAATTGAAAAAGAAAGAACAAGGGTTCAAGAGACAGATCTCTCTCTCCCTAAAACCTAAAAACAAAGCTTAAAGTAAAATTTATGTAAAGTATTTCGTCTCTCTTCTTCTCTTCTTTAAAAACGACCTAAATGACATGTATTTATAGTCTCCAATACTCTCTGGTGTCTAGGATTCCAGAATTGAGGCTGAGAAAATGATATGGGCTTCAGAAATGGGCCTTCAAAGTCGGAGTTAGCTGGCCGCGGTCGGGATGAGTGTGACCGCGGGAAATGGGTGGCTGGCCGCGGTCGCGGTGCTTCTGACCGCGGAAAATGCTCTGTTGGCTGCGGGTGGAAACGCTTGCCGGCTGGTTTACAAGACATCTTGCTCTTCGCGTATCTTTTGATTGAACTGTTGGATTGCCAAGCTGTAAAGTGGGCTGGAAAGCTGATACTTCCATCTTTAAGATCTCCAAATTTGAGCTGGATCAGACGGTGAGAAGGCCTTCAATCAGGGGTGAACTTCTGGCGGTTTGACTCTGAGCTGAAATCTGGTTTTCTATCCATTTTGTTAAGCTTTTCCCTAAGTTACCGGAAAAGAGTCTTGGAACTACAAATACTAGAAAAACGTAATAAAAGTACTTAAAAAAAATTAAAAACATAGAAAAAATATTTCAAAACGATTCATAAAAGTGGTCAAAATACGGTGTTATCAGAATGACGGGGCACTTCCCTTGCATCTAAAACCCATTGATCGAGAGCTAGTAAAATCCATTTATTTGGCTCAACAGTTTGAAGAAGATAAAATCTATTGGTCCTGCAATAAATCGGATGTTTATGCAGTGAGGTCTGGCTATTACTTGGCTTTTAAAGCCTCCCAGGAAGCGGCGGGTGTTCCTAACATGGCTCATGGAGATCCTGTTCTCAAATCCAGAATCTGGAAACTTCCAATCCTCCCTAGCTAAGATCAAACATTTCTTATGGAGATTTTTGTCTAAGGCCCTACCCACAGCTACTAGACTTGCTTCTCGTGGAATCAGGATGGATACTACATGTCAACGTTGTGGCTTATCCTCAGAGACTATCAATCATCTCTTGTTTGAATGTTCAGTATCACATGCAACTTAGCGTCATTCAAATCTGTCCATATCTTTTCTCCATCAACAATCTTTTGGTGTTGAAGAGAAAATTAGAAAGATTTTGGAGTTACAGGGAAATTCAAATATGCTGACTGAAGATAAGCTTACAATACAACAAACAAGGATGCTGTTGGAGGATGGATCATTCAAAATGATTTGGGGGAAGCTAAATATTGGGGATCGGTCTCTTTAGGAAAAGCGGAGTCACCTCTGGAAGCTGAAGGAAAAGCTCTTCTAATGGCTGTTCAAAGTACTAAGATGATGAGATTTCAGAAAGTCATGTTTGAAGGAGATTGTCAGGTTTTGATAAACAACCTGAATGGTAAGGACACAGACTTCAGCATTCATAATTTGTGCGCTGATATCTGGAAATGGTCATCTACCTTGCAACTTTCAAACTTTCATCATGTAAAAAGAAGCTGTAATGTGTCCGATCATTGGTTAGAGCCAAAGTTGGTCCGCTTAATAAAATTTTCTATTGAGCTTGTAATTTTCTTCCTATTTGGTTAACTCCACATTTGTATAAGGATTATGATTATGTAATCTCAAGTTCAAGTTAATATAAAGTTTTTCTGTCGGAAAAATTTTTTTTTTATCTTTCTTCTTTTTAATACTTATTCAAAACTCTTTCTAGATCAGTGTACACAGTAGAAACTTTATAAATTAATACTCGATAAATTAAGAAACACTATAAATTAATATTTTTTTATAATCCCGAATTGGACCAATTCAAAATATAACACAATTCGATAAGATAATAAGATAATAACTTTAACAAAACTTCATTGTAAATATATGGTCTCATTAATATAATAAATTAATAATTACCATAAACAAAATCTGATATAAATATACATGTGATATCATCTACTAAAATATGAGTATAGTGATTTTTTTATTCATTTTAAATTAAAATTTTCTTGAAACTTATTTTAAAGTTTAGAAAAAACTTTTTCAAAATTATACAATTTCTTTAAAAATTAATAAGAAATAAAAAATATTTTTGATATGTAAAACCTATAAATTAATAATTTATAAATTAATAAAGTATCAAAGTTCCAACATTATTAATTTATAAAGATTTTACTGTAGTTTATCACCAAAAAAAAATAATTAATTAAATTTCATATTTTTCTTTTATTTTAAGATCCAAGGCTTTTACAGTTTTTACCATAAATCAGTCTTTTAATAACATGCTAACAGCCACAGTTTTAATACCCAAAATCTCTACAATAAAAAGATATACAATAAAATCATAGGATCACGGTTTCAGGATTGAAATTTAAGCTTTCACGTAGACTTCACTTCGAGGGTACACACTTTAAATGCAGATTACAATGAGCCATTTCCAGAGTTTCCATGGAATAAATAATTTAAAAGAGGCTTGAGAACACTATGCCAACAAAAGAGAAGCGGATCATACATACAGCCTCTGCTTCTATATATGTGACACAGACTCAAGGTCTTAGAATAGTTTGCAGTATCTACTAGATAACAAAAACTCACTTATCAGGCTTCCATAACAATTCAATCTTTATATTTTCTAAGGCTGTCCAAGCTTTTGTCCATTTCTTCTTCTCTTTTTTTTTTTTCTCTCTTTTTAGAGCTCCAACAGTTGCTACCAATATAGCTAGCCCTTAATAAAGTCAAGAGACACAACGCTTTCATATCCCCCACACAAAGGCCAAGAAAGATCTAGGGGTCAATAATTATATCAAATTTATTTTCGTAACACCCCCAGAAAATTTACTTTGAGTTTTTTCTGCTCTAAAATTACAAGAAAACTATTGAAAAAAACATAACTTCTTCTGCTTTGGCTTTGATTTAGAATATTTTCTGATGCTATTGATATCCACATTCGAGATAGTGCCTTTCCTGTAAATATAAGAAAGAGTTCTTATTATCACACACACACACATACAGGACTACAAGATAAAAAAAGGCAGAATTAATGGGAGTGTTACATCAGTAACACCAATCACCGTCTTGACGATCATGTTTTCTTTTAAAAAATAATAATATTAATGGCCTAGTGACATCACAATAAACAGACCCTACATTATCAATAGGATAATCCCTCAAATATATGGACAGTAAACTTTGGAAAAAAAGAGGGAAATGATTAGAGTTTTAATATTGCGAGTGTGATATCGCGTGGACACAACACAGTGTTCAAAATTTTAGCTTATATATATAAGGGGCAGAGGATGCCATTGTGAACCAAGCTGAGAAATAACTTTTTAGTAACAAGAAAGATAGAGAAAAGAGAGAGAGAAAGAGAGACACAAAGAGAGAGATGAAAATGATGCAAGAGGAAAACCGAAAGGGTCCATGGACAGAACAAGAGGACATCCTTCTGGTAAATTTTGTTCACTTATTTGGAGATCGGCGATGGGATTTTATAGCAAAAGTATCAGGTTTGAAGGTGGAGGGAGAAAGATAAGAATAGGTAAGGAGCCTCCATTAACGAGCTAGTTTTGTTGTAGGTTTGAACAGAACAGGAAAGAGTTGCAGGCTTAGGTGGGTTAATTACCTTCACCCTGGTCTCAAACGTTGCAAGATGACGCCACAAGAAGAGCGTCTCGTCCTTGAGCTTCACGCAAAATGGGGAAACAGGTCTGATCCATCTGAGAAAATAAAGATACAACTTGGTTACAAGAATCATACTCAAAACATTTACATCTATGCAGGTGGTCCAAAATAGCCCGGAAATTGCCAGGTAGAACAGATAACGAGATAAAGAATTACTGGAGGACTCATATGAGGAAGAAAGCTCAAGAAAAGAAGCGTCCTGTTTCTCCAAGTTCCTCATTCTCAAACTGTTGCTCTTCGTCTATGACCACTACCAATACTCAAGATGTGTCATCCCAACCGCGGAAATCTTCTGGGAAGGTGAGCTTTTACGACACTGGAGGATCGAATCAAGAAACAGAAGACGTATACTCGATGGATGACATATGGAGAGAGATTGATCACTCTGCAGTAAACATTATTAAACCGGTTACAGATATCTACTCAGAACAAAGCTATTGCTTAAGTTACCAAACTCTGGTTTCTCCATCATGGGAAAACTCATTGGATTCTATATGGAACATGGATGCAGATAAAAGTAAGATGTCTTCCTTTGAAATTGATCAGTTGCCTTTCTGTTTCCAACACAGTAGATCACCATGGTGGTGGTCAGGTTAGTTAGGAATTTGATTTATTCAAAAAATGTTTATATATGTTATATAGAATATAATAAATACAAAATAAAACCTAATGACTGTAATAGTTTGTTTTGAATTTGATGGACACAAAATACAGCATAAGTCTGCAATAATCTCATGGGTTGTAGTAAGTAACCAGCCTACGTTTGTGCTTCTTTTTTATATCTTAGTTTCTAGAATGAATGAGAATAATTGTTGTGATCCCACTTTCTTGCTTTTTTCTTTTCTTGTTTGAATGTGTAATACAAGTCAAGACTCTAGATTCCAAAGTAAACTATCATAACTTTACAGAAGTCAAACTATAATCACATCCTCAATGATCCAGCTAAAAGGCTATACATATATTACTAAGAGTCATTGCTTTCTGGTGATAATATCACAACAAGCAGACCAAACTAGCAGTTTTTGGTCTTTTGAATCTTTTGATATGGTATATACTCATTTGGTGATTTAGTTACCAGTGATTAGAATACCATTTATCTTAATCCTAATTAAACTAAGCAGAGGACTAGTTATACCAAATCAGAAGAATCTCATTCGACGCTAATGCAGATCAGAAGAAAGCAACAAAACAGCAAAACTCAACAGTAAAATCATAATATCTAAGAGACAACGTTTTAATTTAGGGAATAATTTTTTCATCGAACACAGTTTGGATCAATCATTATAAACTCGGTTTTTCATTCCGGTTTGAGGAATGAAAGAGCATAATGATACAAACCCAGCTACAGATCAAAGAACGATTCAGATACTTACCAGAGCACGCTATTAATGGACAACTCCAATAAAAAAACAAATCCTCTTCATAAATCTATGAGACAAATTCTCTAATCACCAAACCGAAAAATTAAAAAATAATGTTTGGTGATGATAATCTTCTCGTTTCGTCTTGGGAAACTTTTATTATGATTACTAGAAACATGTTCAATATCAGGAGAACACACAAACTCCTAAAGAAGTTTTTGTATCTACAGAAAAAGAAATTAAATTTTGGAACTTATCAGCAGCAATATCAAAGAGTTCTTAGAATTTTTTTGTTTTTTTTTTAATTTTTGCATAAATAACCTAAAGGTAAAATATATCATTTGTCTAAACATATATCAATTAAAGTAACACACAAAATTTGTGCATAGAAAACATGAAAAACTAGCATTTATTATTAGCTGGGAAAATCATAGAGAAAAACCTAGTAGCTCCTTCTTCCACAACTTCGGTTGTTTCCAACAAATCTAGCACATCATCCAAACAACTATTATTCAAAGCTCCATTTTTTAGCAATAAACTCCTTTTTTTCTGACAAAGTGTTTTTCCTCAATCAGAAAATTTTGCTTTCAACTCTAAACACAAGCAATTGAACGTGTTGATTTGGATTTAAAATTTTTCGTAAATTAATTGTAAAAAAAGTAGAGAATCCAACTTATCAGCACCAATATCAAAGAGTACTTCTTGGAATATAAATTTTAATTTTTCTCTATACATAAATAAGCTAAAACATAAATTTTGCTTTCAACTCTAAACACAAGCAATTGAACGTGTTGATTTGGATTTAAAATTTTTCGTAAATTAATTGTAAAAAAAGTAGAGAATCCAACTTATCAGCACCAATATCAAAGAGTACTTCTTGGAATATAAATTTTAATTTTTCTCTATACATAAATAAGCTAAACATATCATATCTCTAAAAAACTAAGTATAAATGTATAACATACAAATTTTGTGCATTGGAAATAAACATGAAAACACATTTAGTCATCTACTAATTAGCTGGAAAAAGAAATCATTTAGGATAAAAGTAAAATTTCATCTTTTGCAATTGATCAGTTTTCTTTCTGTTTCCAACACAGTAGATCCCCATAGTCGTCAGGTTAGTTAGGAATTTGATTCATAAAAAAAATGTTTATATATGTTATATAGAATGTTAATTTTTTTATCAAGAATTTATATAGAATTAAAACTAATGACTGTAATAGTTTTGTTTTGATGGACACCAAAAACAGTCTAAGTCTATAATAAACTCATGTGTTGTAGTAAGTAACCAAGTCTAGTATCTTAGTTTCTATAGTAAATAATTCTTGTCAAGTTGTGATCCCACTTTCTTATTTTTTTTTTCTTTTTTCAATGTGTAATACAAGTCAAGACTCTAAATTCTAAGGTAAACTATCTTAAGTTTACAGAAGTTTTCAAACTATAATCACATCCTAAATGATTCAGCTAAAAGGCTATACATATGTTACTAAGAGTCTTTCCTTTCTGGTGATAATATCACAACACACAGACAAAATTAACATTATTTCGACCTTTCGAATCTTTTGATATGACATCTACTCATTTACCAGTGATTAGAATACCATTTATTAATCCTAATTAAACCAAGCAGAGTACTAGTAATACCAAATCAGAAGATCAATCTCATTCGGTGGTAATTCAAATCAGAAGACAGAAAACTTAAACCACAAAATTCAACAGTAAAATTATAATATCTAAGAGACAAGGTTTAGGGCATAATTTTTTCATCGGACACAGCTTGGATCACTCTTCGAAAACTGGGTTTTTCAATCCGAGGAATTGAAAGAGCGTAATGAAGCAAACTCAGCAACAGAGTTAATCAAGAACTATTCAGATACTTACCGACATGTGGCATTAATAGACAGCTAAAGAAAACGAATCCTGTTCATAAATCTGTGAGACCAATTCTTTATTCACCAAGCTATTGCAATCACAATCGTAATGGCAATCACAATATATATGTGAATAATTTTGGTTAGGTTGAAGTTTCCGAAATCAAAGCCGCAACGACGTCGTTTGTTATCACAGCCGAGAATTTTTATATTTTCTAATTTTCTTTACTTTTTTTCGGCGCGCAACGTAATTTTTTAAATTCTAATCAAAAAATCAAAGCGTTATTGATACTGTTTTCTTGATTTTTTTATTTATTGCCTAAAAATACTGTTTCAACGTAAAGGTTAATAGAGTCAACAATGTAATATGTGCATCACCTAGTAAGAAACTAAGATTTTCTTGATTTTTTTTTTGTCTTCTTGGCCTCACTATCGTTTGCGTCGTGAGGTGATGTTATGCATCTAGTTATCCTTATTTTAGGAGTTTGATGCTCTTTATGGCTTGAGCTTTTGCTCTCCTTTGTTTTTTTCCCTTGTATGAAACGATCGTTTGTTTTTCTCTCAATAATAAGGTTTTCAGACGACAAAAAAAAACTATATTTAACTTAGTTTGGGGTTAAATGACTATAGATTTTCTTTTAAAAAAAACCCTTGTGATAAACCGAGCGTTGTCCTCCTGTCTATAAAAATATCTTATCTGGACTCAGATACATCCACGATCGAAACATCATCCATTGCGACATTAAACCGGAAAATCTCTTTCTCTTCCTTACCGATCACCGGTTAAGAGCTAATGTGTATTTGACCAAGATTGGGGAATTCGGTTTAGCTATGGAGAAAGGTTTGATCAAGTACGGTGACGGAACCGGTCATATGAGAGGCACTGCGAGGTATGTGGCTCCAGAGCTTATGAGCCATGGGATTGTAAACTTTGGAACAGATGTGTGGGCTTTTGGTTGTACTGTCTTGGAGATGTTAACCGGAGAATTGGTTTAAGGAGAACATGGTGATCTTGATTTCGATGACTGGGTCGATCTCATCGGCCACAGCGATTGCCTTCCTCGTATACCGGGTTAGTTGTCTAAAGAAGCATTAGATTTTTTGAGCAGATGCTTGGAGAGAGACGTAGACAAGAGGTGGTCTAGCCATTCACTCACGAATCATCCTTTTGTTAGGCTGTGAAAGAAGTTGAAGAGTATAGTAACTAATGACCGATTTGTTTATGTCAATTTGAAAGAGTGGTAAATCTTTGTTCTTTCAATTTGTTTGGAACGGTTTTGTGTTCTTCCAGTATATGATTTTTTGTAGAAGCTAGTGGTAAAGTCTTTTATATGCTATTTCTATCAATCACTTCGAGTTCTGTATCATTAGTAGTTTAGAGTTGTGGAATCAATCATGAACATAATTTTTTTTTAAAGAGATTAAAGTCTCTATTCCAGTAACAATACTGTAATGTTAATGTGTGTGATGGGAATTTGAATAATTCAAAACCCTTAAACAGAACATCTTTTATAAATTTTAGTTGGATCAGTAATCAATCTAAACAACCAATGAATATTATCTAAATCTTAATACAACGTTCGTTTAGATCCATCAACCCAAAAAAATCAACAACAGAATCCTCAAGCTTTGGTTTATAATATCAACAAAACTGATTTTAGAGCTTTTGTTCAACAGTTAACCGGACTTGGTTCAACTTCTCAGTCAATCCACCAGCGTTGCCAAACCCAAACACACCAAAAATCCCACATTCAAATGGTTAAAGTTTGACCGGCTCCTTTGACTCTAACTTAACCGCCCTCCACCTCCACCTCCGGTTCAATCCGATACAATGGCCTCTGAATCGGTTCCCCTGTTAACCAATTTTGGTTAATCTGGTCGAATCTCCAATCTTGGCTTATAGGTAAAAGACTTATATGCTTTACCTAATCAAATCAAGTTTTGTTGGAAACCGACCTCAGGTACAAAACCAAAACCCGGTACAACTATCAACCAGTTGATTTTCTTCACAAATAAATAATAAAGATATTTGGAAAGATGTTCCAAATATCTCGCTGCAACACTAATTAATAACATTTATTCACAATAGTAATAGATAGATAAGTTAAAGAAATCATATGTATAGTGTATTGTACATATGCAGATTTTTTTTCTGTTAAAAGCTCCAAAAACAAAAGCTACCAATATATAGCAAAAAGTCATCACGGTTGAGATTCTTAGCTGCAAAACAAGTAAGGTATTCACCAATTATCATTCAATTTTAGAAAACAAAATTCTCATTCATTCTTTTAATAAAAAATTTAAAAAATTCATCTGAGAATCAAGGAAGAAACTATTTCTGCAACTACCAATAGTCCAAGATTAATTTCACCATTTAAGAAAATGGAGAGGACAAAATATATAAATAAAAGGATGCTGAAGATTTCCTAGCTTTAGGAGCCATTGTTAGAGTCGGGGATGAAACCATGAAAAAGAAGAGAAGGCAACTATATGTGTTCTAAAAGAATGGTTTAAACAATATAGTTTTAATTGTTTTGACAAATAATACATGCTTTTAAGGTTTAGAAAATTCAAATATATA